GGTCTTGGTCAGGGTGGGAGTCTGTGGTGTCAGATCTGGGCTGGGCCCCCGGCCGCCTGCTCACATTTGCCCCGGTCAGGCATTCAGCACCGCCATGCTGTGCCCTGCTGAGCCACCGGCAAGCTGACAGCTCCGCGGGCCAACCTCCCCTCCCACCCCCACACACGCACATGCACACGCACACACACCCCACACACACATGCACACCCACACACATGCACACTCACCCACACGCATGCACACCCACACACACATGCACACACACCACACACGCATGCAGGCACACCCACCCACACGCATGCACACCCACCCACACATATGTAAACCCACCCACACATGCACACACATCCATACACATGCACACACTCTCACATGCATACACTCACGCACATGCACACACCCACACATGCACGTATGCAATGTTCTCGCATACATGTGCTCATGCACATGCATGCACATACGTGCACACAGCCACATGCATACACAAGTGAATTTCCACCAAACACGTGGCTGGTATTCAGCTTGCCACGATGAAAGATGCATGTGTGTGATGGGAAGAAGGAAATGGCTTCGTGGATCCAGAGCGGTGAGCCGGTCACGGCTTAGGTCCCCGTGGTTGCAGCCCAGGGACTCTCTCCGTGTGGCACTAACGTAACCAGTATGTGTTCAAAGTCCATTCAAACAGCTCAGACACTGGGGGCCAAGTGTGTGCGTTCGTGCGCGTGCGTGTGTGTGTGTGTGTGTGCCTGCGTGTGGGGGGGGTGTGCATGCATGTGTGCGTGTGTGCGTGTGTGTTTGCATGTGTGTGGGGGGGTTGGCTTGTTTGCATTTATCTTTGGTTTCTCTTTTTCCCCCGATTGGCTTTGTGTCGTCGGGTGGGGGTTAGAGTCCTATCAGCGCGTCTGTCTCCTAGCCGCGGGCTCCGCCTGTTCCGTGGCACGAGGAGTGTTTGCCTCCCGGTTGTCACGGAGTCTGCAGGGCGGACACACGCAGCACAGCGGAGTGGGACACGTGTGGCCAGACACGCTGTCCTGCTCATCACGTATGTGTGTGATGGTTAATGAACAGTCCTCTGAACTAAGGCCGGAGAACCGACATTCTTATTCCTGGAGTCACATTCTTTCGTGATGAAATTTATTTTGGTTGAAGCTTTTCTAGGGCAACACTGGCCCTTTTCTAAAGTGACCTTCTCTCCCCCACCTTCTCTCCTCCCTTCTCTCCCCCCACCTTCTCTCCTCCCTTCTCTCCCCCCACGTAGCCGCCGAGACTGGGCGCCTAAGGCTGGCACTGGGTGAGTTCGCGCTTCTGTCCCATCGGCCTGACGCTTCCCATTCTCTGCGCCCCTTGGCAGGCAGGAGGCAGGTGCCAGGGGAGGACGCACAGTGGGCAGTGTCGGTCATTTGAAATCTGTAGCAGATGCATGTACGCGACACGGATAACAGCTGTGTTCCCCGAGGGCCCGGAGGACTGACAGTGCCCGTGGGTCCCGAGAGGCAGGGGCCGGGAAAGGGCTCGGGTGTGGACGGGCCGTGGTCACCGGCTCTGGTCCCAGGTGGGCACCGCTGCCCTGGCCGGCAGGTGGCGCTCCGGCCCGGGGCGAGGGCTGCTCTGTGTGCCATTCAGGGCCCTGAGGTGCAGCCGTCGCCTCTGGGGTCCCTTCAGAACGATCCCATGGGCAAGCACCTCCAAGCGTCCGTCCGTGATGTCCTGGGCAGCACTGTCCGGCCCGTGTTCCTCGGGTCCGTTTCCCACCTGACTCCGTAGGCGGCGCTGACGCTCAGAAGCAGGTGAAGTGAACGTCTCCCCTTTAACCACGTGAAAACCTCTCCGTTTCTCTCGTGCCCACAGATGACGGGGACTCGGACGCCATCCTGTCAGGTAAGAAGGCGCCCACCCTGTGCTGACCCCCCGGAGGGTCTCACGGTCCCTCCAAATTCAGGAAAGAGAGCCCTCCCTGGTGACCCCCAGCCGCCCCGTGGCTGCGTTTGTGGGGAGCTCGTTCTCAGGCGGCGCCCCGAGATCCCCTCCGTCCTCAGAGCGGACGGCGCTGCGGTGTCTGGAACGAGTCCTGAAAGCATCGGGCATGAGTGGGTCCGAGGCCGCCTGTCGGCGTCGCTCCGGCCGCTGCTCGCTCAGCGGTTACCGGCCGCTCTCCGTTCCGCGGAGGAGGCGGCGTTTGAGCACGGGTGACACCGGCTCATTCTGCGTGTCCTGTGCCGAGGCCCCCAGTTCCCACAAACCCGGTGTGTGAGCCACACCCAAGCGCTGCCTTCGGCTCTGGGGTCAGAGTCCAGGAGGAGTCTCACCCGCGAAATCGCCGTCCAGGGTCCTGTCCCCCTGGAGGCCGCGGGGCAGGACCACGACTGCCTCTCCCGGGCCCTGGGGCCACCCCCTCCTGGGCTCCGCTCCTTCCTCCGGCTTCAAAGCCAGCAGGGTCGTGTCTTCGAATTCCTCTCTGACGCTCCAACCTCCAGCTCCACTTTTAAGAATGCTTGTGGCCCGGCTGGCGTGGCTCAGGGGTTGAGCATCAACCTAGGAACCAGGAGGTCAGGGTTCGATTCCCAGTCAGGGCACAGGCCCGGGTTGCAGGTTCAATCCCCAGTGTGGGGCGTGCAGGAGACAGCTGACCCACGATTCTCTCTCATCATTGATGTTCCTGTCTCTCTCCACCTCCCTTCTGCTCTCTTTAAAACCATTAAAACATTTTTTAAAATACGAGGGAGAATCATGGATCGGCTGCCTCCTGCGCACCTCCTACTGGGGATGGAGCCTGCAACCCAGGCCTGTGCCCTGACCAGGAATGGAACTATGACCTCCTGATTTATAGGTCGATGCTCAACCGCTGAGCCCCGCTGGCTGGGCAACACGTAATTCTTATCACAAAACACCAAACACCTGCCTGGGACATAGAGTCTGGGAGAGAGGAGACGGGGTGAGTGAGCTGAGCAAGACCCAGGGCCCATGGCTGAGAGGCGACTTAGCACGTCTATCACTTACCTAGTGGTCGCTTCAGAGTTGAGGCGAGATCATGGGGGCCCTCGCTGGCCACACCCCTCTCAAGTCACTGTGAGCGCGTGTGTTCATGAGTGTTTCTTTTGGGGGGAATTCTTTTTTTAAATATATTTTTATTGGTCTCAGAGAGGAAGGGAGAGAGAGAGAGAGAGAGAGAAACATCAATGATGAGAGAAAATCATGGATCAGCTGCCCCCTGCACGCCCCCCACTGGGGATCCAGCCCACAATCGGGCACGTGCTCTTGACCAGAATCAAACCTGGGACCCTTCAGTCCACAGGCCGACGCTCTATCCACTGAGCCAAACTGGACAGAGCTTTGGGGGAGAATTCTTATTATTTTTATTTTCAAATTTATCTTTATTGTTGGAAGTATTACAGCTGTCCCCCTTGTCCCTGCCTTGACCCCGTCCACCCCGCTGCTGCCCCTCCCCAGCCCTCACCACACTGTTGTCTGTGTCCACGTGTCAGGCCTCTGTGCCTACAAGCTCTGTGGTTAGTCTCCCGCTCCCCGACCTCCTTTCCCCTGAGGCGCGTCGGCCTGTGGGGGCCACGGAACAAAGTAAACTGATGAGCAGCATGGATGGTGGCGCGTGCGACAGGCTGACGGGTGGGTCTGTATTGCAGTGCTGCCTGCTGCCGGCTCCACTCCGCTCCCTCCTCTGACTGCGGCGCGTTCAGCATCGCCAGGTAGGAACCCGCTCCCACCCCCTGCGACCAAGTTTAACTGCTCAGTTGCACCACCCATCGCTAGTGACTGCTGTTCCACCTGAGGGCACGCTGAGCGGAGAGGGGGACGGGCCCTGAGGTGCCTGGATTCAGTTTGTGTTTAATTTTACTGTCAAAGACCATCATGCCCGCGGGCGTGGCTCAGGGGTTGAGCATCCACCTAGGAACCAGGAGGTCACGGTTTGATTCCCGGTCAGGGCACAGGCCTGGGTTGCGGGCTCCATCCCCAGTGCAGGGTGTGCAGGAGGCAGCCAATCCATGATTCTTTCTCATCATTGATGTTTCTCTCTGTCTCTCCCTCTCCCTTCCTCTCTCTTTAAAAATCAATGAAAAAAATATCCTCGGGGGAGATTAACCCCCAAAAAAACTATCTTTTAAACTTCCTCTCTCTCTAAAAATCAATAGAAAAATATCCTCGGGGGGGATTAACCCCCCAGAAAACTAACTTTTACAAAAAGGGGGCGAGGCATTTGGGGAAAGCAGGATGGCGTTAGGAGCATCCGCTCTGCCGCCTGAACTTGACCCCAGCCTCGTGAGAGGCCGGTCCTTCTCTGTGAGCTCGTGGCCAGGCAGGCGGCCCCTCAGCAGGGCCAGCTGAGTCCTCTGACGGCGTCTCATCTGTGTCTCAGGAAGGCGTTGTGGCCCTGACCACCGCTTCCGTGTCGTTCTAGAGCCACCTGCCATGGACCCGTCTCCTTCGAGTCGTGGAGCCGACGATCCTTGGCCCAGCCCGCCAGGTCAGCCACCGGCTCACAGGACACGCCACCGTGCGCGTGAGCCCCAGGGGAGGCTGTGACAGCCAGGGAGGGGGCGGGGCGGCACGGGCCAGAGCGACAGGACCACACCCCCAGCACCTGGCTGAGCTCCCCAGCACCCCGCTTTCCTGCTGCTGCACAGACACATTGGAAAGTTCAGACAGTGAGGAGAATAAGGGAGCAGACAGCTGTGCCCCTGTGCCTCCGGGGCTGGTGCTCACAGTTTGTCACCCTGGGTTCCATCTTGTCAAGAAATAACACATGACAGGCAGCTTTGAGCTCCCCAGACGCCCATCCCCTTTGTTCTCTTCCTCTGCCTCGGAGACAAGCACCCCTGGAGGTGGTGTGTGTCGTTCCGTTCATTCTTAAGACTTTTACAGAAACAACTTGTGTGGCTCTATGTGTCATTGTGGTTTTCTTTCTCACCAATGATATCGGTGCCTGTCTGTCATCCACTCCTTGTACTCTTTACTCAATGTCACGTTTCTGAGGTGTATTCGTGTTGATGGCTATAAAGATTTATAGATAGATTTTACTGCTTTTAGCAGCTATGGTGTTGAATCTTTTTTAATAAACCCCATAATGGGTGCATTTCCCCACGGATAGAAATACATTTCTGTGATGTTTCGTGTCTGCCCGGCTGGGGGCAGGTCCTGGCTCAGCAACGCATGTTCCACCATCTGATCCGCTTTGTGGCGCGACTGCCAAGGGCCACCTCACGCAGCGGTGGGATTACTGAGCGCTCATAAATGGGGAGTGATCAAAAATTCCCCCTAATTTGGGAGCCGGGCAAACAGGATGAGTGCAAAAGGCAAGTTTCCAAAATGTACCTTTATTTTTGTTTCCGCAGACGATCCACCCAGGATGAGGCTCGCCAACGGCACCGGGAGGTGCTCCGGGCGCGTGGAGGTGTTCTACCAGGGCGCCTGGGGGTCGGTGTGCGGGGACGGCTGGGGCCTGCGGGAGGCCCAGGTGGTGTGCAGGCAGCTGGGCTGCGG